GAGAATGGAAGGGACGCCACCTGAAAGAGAATGACAGTGACCTCCACCTTCCTCCCACCGTGGCAAAGCTTGCAGCTTATAACTTTTCTCAAGCACAGGAAGGGCATTCTGGGGGCAAATAATCCCCCTTGCTGGCAAGGGAAGAATCTATCCTAACACCAGAGAACTAGGAAAAAGCCTAGTGTGTTTTAGTTAAATTGTAGAAGGTACAGATTGCATTCTGGAGCACTCCAGATTTTGATGGAAAGATTCCCTGAGGTTGAAACTTTATAGAGAAAGTACCTCTGGAAGAGAAGGGCCTGCATCATTTTGACAAAAAAATTTCATTATTTCATGGAACAAGGCCTTGTCTGCAATTTACCAGCATTGCCTAAAAGATGTCCCAGCTACGCTTGTCACCTTTTCTCAGTAAATCACTAGGATGGTTTTTTTCCCCCATGGGCTCAGTAGTTTTCTTCCTGAACAGTCTCAAGGTGAACCAAGAGATTAAAAATAGTCCATAATACATTATTATTCTTAGTTAAGATATCAGTCACATAATACTGTTGGATTTGTACTTCCAGAGCACCTTCCACCCGAGAATGTCTATGCACTTTCCAAAGTTAACATTGTTCTGGTGGATAAAAATAAGAAAGTCCAAATTGGGAGGGAGAGACATTAAATCAGTAGCCTCTACAAAGTCCTTGCCAACTCTTAACTGTCTATCCTGTCTAGCTGCGTGATGTTGGACAAGTCACTTCCCCTCTCTGAATCTCAGCTTCATAATTTGTAAGCAGGAGGCCAGACGCTTTCTGGCTTTTACATTCTAATTTTGTTGGAAATTACATGGCACGGCTAACACTCCATTCTTCTTTGAAGGAGGCCTATGCCATTTAATTACAGTAGATCTTGACATTTGCCTGTTTGACGTCAGTGACTCTGACTATTCTCAGAGACCTCAAAGGTCTATCTATGAGCTACAATATTCTGATTTTGTAGAGGCGTGCTGTGAGCCTGGGATCCAGGAGCAGGCACATTGTTTAGGGAGTGAGATTAATGTGCCCGCAGCTCACGTGTATATATATACATATCTCCACGAGGTTTTGTTATAGTCTGCGGTAGCCTCCTAGGCCATAATTCTAAGGATGTACTTTCATGGTAGTCACAAAGGTGGGGATGCTTCTAGATCATGAAGATGTCAATAGGATCTCTCACAAGTGTCAAGAGTTTATCACGATGTGGGTTTAAGGTCGTCACATACTCACCCCCACTTCATCTGCTTCAGTCCCACAGCCTCAGCGAAGGCTGCTTTAGAAATCAGTGGTGTCACACACACAGCAAGGAGCTTTCGTTTCTCTTTTGCTGAGCTTATCTCCACTGCGGCACTTCTCTCATGTGTTTTGATTTGTCTACATACCTAGTGTCCCCTTCACTGGAGAAGATCCTTGAGAGCTGAAATGCCAACCTGTCCTATTTAAACTTATGTATCTCCAGTACCTTGTCATGTATCTAGTATGTGGCAGACATTTAATAAATGTTTGTTGAATGACTGAGCACCTTTCCTGAGCAGGCACCGAGCTGAAGGTGCATTTTCCTCATATTTGTATATAGTCCCTATCACTCCCCTGCAGGATGGATACTATAATTCCTGTCATCCCAACAACATATCTGCGGCTTGGCCAGGCGAAATGACTTGTTCAAAGTTACGTAGTAGGCGAGTGATGGATTCCTATCTGTTTGTCAGACTTCAAAGTTCATGGTTGTCTATCCTACCGCAGTGCTAAGGACATCAGTGAAGAAGTAAAGCATGAAATAAAACCCAGTGAGTGGATTCACCACCCAATAGCATTGAGGGGGCCCAGGCCTGGCTTCAACCTGAACAGGCTTTCAGAAGAGGATAGTGAGGGCAAGATCAGCAGTGCTCCCAGCCGGGTGAGCAAAGACAGTTGCACAGAGAGGGAAGGAACTGGAAGGTGGAACCGCTCCAGGCACCACACAGCTTCTGTCTAGGTGCCCTGAGGGTTTCAATTTCGGTTTCCAGACTGGTATGGCAATTAGCAGGGTCTCAGGGTAGGAGCAGGGTCCTAGCTACGTTGGAAGTTACAAGCTGAGACTGGGAAGCAAGCCTTCTTGATTCAATTAAGCAAGTCATTTGAAAAGCCACTTTCCTTCCTGCGTCTCATGGTTCAGCTAAGAGCTTTAACGCCTTTCAACTCTAAAGTTGGGCCCAACAGCACCAGGAGCTTACTAGAAATGCGGAATCTCAAACCCTACTCTCAACCATTTGACTTGTAATCTGCATTTTAGCAAAGTGCCTGGTTGGTTCAGAAACATGTTAGAATTCGAGAAACGCTACTCTAGAAGATATTCTAAGGCTCTTTCTGGCTTTAGTTATTTGGGGAGTTTATTTTATTTGGGGGGAGGAGTTTAGATTAGGAATCTTCACAGTAACCAAAAAACTAACATGTCTATTAATTAGGGTTACATAGAGATTCAAGAAGCCCGATCACCTCAACAGTGTCTTCTGAAGAATACTGTTAATGCATTGATACTATTATTAATGGCCTCACTTACTGAGCACTCATCATATATAAACAACACTGCATAGAGTATTTTGGATCATAACAGGCCTCCAAAAGAAATATTATTAGCCCTATTTTACCAATGAGGAAATAATCTCATAAGTTAATAAAATTTCCCCCAAATACATGTTTAAATCAGAACTGGAGCCAGAATCTTAACCCAAAGTTAAGTTCTAGTTGTGAAATTACAATCTACAGAATCAAGAGTAGGACTACGGTGTGCAGACAGACGAGCAGGTTATGAACTCATTCTTCTGCAATGAAGAAAACCAAAAAGGTAGTCTAAAGTCTACCTAAGTCTGAAAGCTAACGTGGAGGAAGAGACGGCAGCATAGCTCACTCAGCAACCCTGGAACACCTGGCCCAGAATTGAAAATGTGTGGAGACTGATACACATTTAGAACCAATATCAGGAGTGATCACTCATGAGGTCCATTTACACCAAGATATCATTCTAGCTGCAAACAAAAAGAGGTTTGAGGAAGGGTTAGTCATACTCAGAAATCCAAAGTGCACAGCTAATTCTTAAAGGGACAAAGGAACTGGGAGTCAAGACTCTGATCTGTCAAAAATTCCTCTTGAGTGCCTTTGGTGGATAGGTACTGAACTGGAGAAATCACTAGTCTGTCAAATCATAGCCAATGCTGTGGTCACGATATCACTGAATGCCCATGCAACTGTGAAGTTGCATGGAGTTCGTCTTCCCAGTGAGGGCTTGTCCTTCATTTGTATGTACAAACACTCTCGCCAGAGCACATATAAATGGGTAGTATTCTCTAGAAGCCTAGGTTTTTACTTATGCTAACGAATGATTATCCCTCCCAGCAAAATGACTACACAGAGCTCTAATAAATCAATTTGCCAATGGCGATTTCATTTTGGGAGAGGATATCCCCTGTTCCATCTCTGGCTAGTGCACCCAGGACCTGATATGAGTGCCCATGTCTATGGTTCCGAAGACCCTGGGGCTGGCAGGAACTGTGAAAAGACTTGACCCTGCCTCCAGGCACGGAAAGGACCGTTGTTCTCACTCCGCACACGAGACAGTGCAGTTCTAGAGCTGAAACTAAACGTCTTGCCCAAAGTCACACTAGTAGGAAGGAATTGAGGGAGGACAAGAACAGAGGTCCCCAGATGGCTCACTCAGCTCTGCGGTCAGCAGGACCCATCCCCTTTTGAGCCCTGTCCCCTGGACCTAGGAGGAAGCACTTCTATGACACCTCTCCTTCGGTTCTGTGCGCTCCCTTTTCTGTACTCTCCTTCCTTCACCCTTTTACAAGCTGTATGTTTTCATCTCCCACTCAAGGTGTTTTTAGCAGGTTCTTGGAGCACTTTGACATTCCCCTCCCCTTCCTCAGTGCCCCTTTTGTCCTTCACGCCTCCTTCCTGTTTCTGCTTATTGCTTGTGGACATGAGAATTCAGAGACAAGTTTACCCCTTCTCACCCCCACCTTCTCGGCCACCCTGCAAATCCTGGGGAAAGTCATTCTGTTTCTTCTTCAAAGCTATCCATCTGAGAAAACACAAACACAAACAAAAAAAGAACACCCAGTACAAGAAGGCTCAACAGGGAGAGCCCTTACAGTGATCAAGGTCATCAAAGTACAATAACCACGGGGTCTGAAGGACTCAATGGGCCACTAGCCTGAGAAGCATTCCAGGAGCATTGTAGACTATGAATGCTCCCACAGCTCCTAAGAGGTGTCTCCTGTGTTGCGTAGCCAGAGTTTGGAACCCACCCCTTGACTAAAGGCAGGTGGCCACTGCCCTGGGAATTCTGCTTCTGCAAGACCCCTCCAGTACCCAAGCTGCATTGACTTATCTCACCTACACTGGGCAGGCCTCACACCATAAAACAGCCTATGGGCATGTATAGTGATTGCCAAATTTCAATCAACTTTGCAATTTCCAAATTGAAGGAGAGACGCCTGGAATCTGGTTATACAATACAACTGCAATATGGTCCCGGGGGGAGAAAAAGCCAATGCCACTTGCTTCCCTGAGGATGTCCTGTCCTGTCCTGTCTTGACCTCAGAATGGAAAGGATCAGCCCTGAGGTTCATATGAGCCTTCAGCATGAGGGGAGGAGGAAGGAGAGACCCCACGGGTCTCCTACCGCCTGCTTAGTCACAACAGTTCTCCAAAATCGGACATCAAAACTTCTGTCACCCCCACACCACCACCAGCCATCATTCTGAGTTCCCGTGAATGGAATGTTCTGTGTCCTTAGCTCCTGCCACAGGATTCCCTGCCCAGAAATAATGTAAAGTGAGAAAACCGAAGAAATGTTTGGAAGTGACACCTGCCAGGAGTGCCTGCTGATACTGCGCACCTGTGCTGGAACCCAAGTCTGACATTAACGCGACACGAGGAAGAGTTTTAACGGCAGGAGGAGATGGCAAGGGATGGGGTGGGAGAGAATATGGGCAGGTTACTTACACAGTTTCGTCATTCTTGAACTCCAGCTCCCCGTACGCATCTTCAAAATCCTCACCGCCACCCTTGGCCGTCCCCTCTACTGTCCTAAAGGGGACGATGACTGTGCCCCGGGCACCTGATGTCCGCAGAACCTTGACTTCCAGGACACCAATACTCTCACTGACACGAATAGTGTCACATTCAAAAGTGAAGATGCCTGCGTGATCATCATCCAGGATGGTGACTGTGGCCACATACGGGGACACCAGGATGGCCTGAGGCAATGGAAGACTATTGAGTACTATCGGAGGGATCCCTTCCTCTGGTTGCTCCTCCTCGATGCGGACGTTGCTCAACCTCACAAAGAAGTGTTCATCCTCCTCAAAAATGTCATCGTCGATGATGCCCACAGAGAACTCCTTCTGGGTCTCTCCCGGCTTCAGAACCACAGTGCCCTCTGTGAACTCGTAGTCAGCCCCTGCATTGGCAGAGCCATCCTCTGTTTTGTAGTCCACATACACAGTCTTGGACATGTCCCCCCCTTTCCTCACCACGGTCAGGAGTACAGCCCCACAGTTCTCCAGGCACTGGTAAGAGCATGGGTCAAAGAAGACCTTCGAGACGAAGTCCTCGGGCTCATTGGTGTGCACCTCATTTATGCTGGAGGACTTTTTGGCTTGTTCTGCTGCATGCTTCTTCAGAATATTGCCTGCTCCAGTCATCATACGGGTGGCTTGGATCCGGTAGAAGGCACGGCTCTTCTGCTGATGGGAAAGAGCATAGTAATTGGCCATCTCTACCAGTTGATCTAAGTCCTTCTCTGGGTGTTTCTGCTTCAGATCCTTTAGAATCCGGATCATCTCCCTGCGGGACTCATCCATTTCCTTTCCTTCCAGGGGCACCAGGTTCCCATCCAGGAAGTGGGAATTCATCATTTTCCCATCCATCTCAATGCCCTTGGGGTGGTTACCCTCTGTCTCTATGATAACCCCTCGGTGTTTATCTGTGCGGTACTTTTTGTGCATGTATTTGTAGAAGAGCAGCCGCCTATCTGCCACCCAAGCCAGAAGGACACACACTGGAAAGAAGAAGAGAGTGAGAAGGCCTTCCCAAACCTGAACCACACCAGGAGAGAAGACTGCCAGGATCATATAGAGCCAGATGTAAGCAAAGATACTCCAAGCAGCAGTGATGAGGAAGACTCGTAGGTGCTTGATCTTGCGAGTCTCTCCATCCGGGATCACGTAGACGCAGATTCCAATGATGATGAACATGTTAAAAGCTGCACTACCTACGATGGTAGAAGGTCCCAGATCACCAGCAATGAACCCATGACCACACACCTCAATTAAAGAGAGAAGGATCTCGGGAGCAGAGGAACCCAGGGCCATGAGGGTCAGGTTGGAGACAGTTTCATTCCAGACCCGAATGGTTGTTGTGCTGGTCTCTCCATTGGGCTTTTTGATAGTCACCTCTCTCTCCTGAGAAGTGATGACTTCAATAGATGCCATGAAGCGGTCAGCAATGATGGACACCCCAAGGAACATGTATATCAGGGCCACAAAATAGACAATGACCCTGGCAATCTTATCCCCAAGGGAAGGGTTCTCCGGATACCAGATTGGCAGGATGACACCCTCCTTGCAGTCCGAGGACTCTGAACAGGACTCATTGTTCTGCCCTGTGCTGGGCACATGCCCTGAACCACCAGCCTCTGCCCGAAGACCATTCAGGAAGAGCACAAAAGTAATCAGCCCAAAATGGAGGAAGGCAGAGGTGAGGGGCTGTAACCTTAACCACGCCATACACAAGACTTAGCCGCTGGCTTCCACTGCAGCACCAATGGTCCTCCTGATGGGCCAGAGACCTAGAAAAGACCAGAGAGGCAGGAAAAGGCATGAGGAAAAGGGTGACAGCAAATGGCGGGTTCCCACCAATACAAACCGATGTTTCACCTTGAGCGACATATTGCACTGACATATGGGGCAGTCTCTCACTCGGAAAAAAAGATGTCAGTGGGAAGCGCAAATAGCTGCTCTGTCCACAGGACCATCTGGTGGAGACTCAGTTGAAGAAGGGCTTAAAATAGCTGGGAATATTGGTAATGAACACTTAAGTGATACCCTTCCTGTCTCAAGCCTCAGTTATCTGTGAGAGTGAAGCATCAGCCAAAATATAGGCCAAGCATGACCTGAATCTACATCCCCACTTCTCCCGTTTTCAGGCTTCTTTACCCTACGATTTTCCTACTCAGGAATTCTGCATAACATACGTGTGCAAGGATACATACTGAACGGGACTTTTTTCATAGATGACTCCCCCAAAAGAAAATACATTGCCCTGTGTGCAATTGAGCCCACATGGGAAAAATTCCTTCCCCAGATGCCAAGCTTCTTCAGGCGCTCTGTAATTCTGACATTTCTTCGGAAATCAAGAGGGTTGGTTGTGGAGTGGGTGCTACCTGCAGTATCGCTAAACAGGCGCCCCGAAAGCTGGGCTCAAGCCCCAATCCCCAGCAGCTCTTATGAAAACACGCTTACGAAACAGCTCAGGCATCCAGTTACAGGAAGATGAAACCAGTCAGCCACTCAAACGCCAAACCCAAACACCGAAAGGGCCAAGGAATAGGAATCACCATTACTAAAACATGCAAGTGGCTCCCTTATACATTTTTTTAAATTGTAGATAAGATTTGAGGGTGAAATGCAGCCTCATCTGCTGGTCTCAGACCAGTCAGAGCTGAGCATGAATTCAGGAGAATCGGAAGAAATTCATCAGAAACTATGGGGATTCATCTTTCCACTCACTGCCTCATTCAGATGCAAGGAGAATGCAAATATCCATGTGATAGCTTTTTAAAAAAGGGAAAAAAGTGATTTGCCCATTTTTCCATCTCTGCTGCACCTATGCAGGTTACCTTTAGTAACAGAAGGATGCTAATTTGCATCTGTACAGCACCTTAAAGGATTCAAAGTCCTGTCCTCCACATCTGCTCCCCTTTCTCCACTGTTTCCCCATCTCGGAATATGGCGCACCTCCATCCACCCTGTTACTCATGCGAGGCAATGGGTATTCGTCTGCAGGCCTTCCCTAGCTCCTGCCCCTTGTCCATCCAGCAATGAAGCCTAGACTCTCCTTCCATCTCTACCAAAATCAACACAGCCACCATTCACTCACCTCATGAATCTACTGCAGTGACCTCCTGACCCAACTCTCCACTCCATTTCCTCAGACAGCAACAGTCTTCTTTTCTAAAAACTTCAAAACTACACTGTCACTCTCCTATGTGAAGCCCTTCGGTAGTTTCCTCTTATTCTTAACCTAAAGATTCTTTACCATGACCTATAAAGTCTCACACAAGCTACCTTCTTCCTCCTCTCCCCCTTTATCTCCTGCTGCTCTCCCTCTTACTGCTTTTCAGCAACAATGGACTTCATGTCAGTCCCTGGAAGACACCAAGTTATTTTCTACCTCAGGGCCTTTGCACGCATGCCATCATCCACACATGCCTGAAATGACCGTTTCTTCTTGGTATCCATACTCTTAATGATGTTTTACATCTTAGCTCAATATCATTGTCTCAGAAAAAAAAAATTACTCTCACTCCTAAAGATGGTCAACTTTCTCCGTTATACCTTCTCATCACACTCCCCTTTTCCTTCATGGCACTTAGAAAACTTTGAAATTCATGTTTATTTGTGGGATCATATAACGAATGTCTAACTCATCCATTAAACGGTGAATAATATCAAGGCAAAGATTGTGTCTATTCTGACGACATGATACACTACATAGAAAACCTGACAGACTCCACCAGAAGCCTACTAGAACTGATCCATGAATTCAGCAATGTTGCAGGGTACAAAATCAACGTACAGAAATCGGTTGCATTTTTATACACCAATAATGAAGCAACAGAGAGAGAAATCAAGAAACTGATCCCATTCACAAATGCGCATAAAAACATAAAATAGCTAGGAATAAACCTAACCAAAGATATAGGAGATCTGTATGATGAAAACTATAGAAAACTTATGAAGGAAATTGAAGAAAACACAAAGAAATGGAAAAACATTCCATGCTCATGGGGCAGAAGAATAAATATTGTTAAAATGTCATTACTACCCAAAGCAATCTACACATTCAATGCAATACCAATCAAAACTGCCCCAGCATTCTTCTCAAAACGAGAACAAACTAGTTTTCTATGGAACCACAAAGGACCCCAAATAGCCAAAGTAATATTGAAGAAGAAAACCAAAATAGGAGGCATCACCATCCCAGACTTTAGCCTCTACTACAAAGCTGTCATCATCAAGACAGTATGGTATTGACACAAAACCAGACACATAAACCAATGGAATAGAGGACTCAGAATTGGACCCACAAATGTAAGGCCAACTAATCTTTGACAAAGCGAGAAATAGCATCCAATGGAAAAAAGACAGCCTCTTTAACAGATGGTGTTGGGAGAACTGGACAGCAACATGCAGAAGAATGAAACTAGATCATTTTCTCACACCATACACAAAAATAAACAAAATGGATAAAGGACCTGAATGTGAGACAGGAAACCATCAAAACCCTAGAGGAGAAAGCAGGAAAAAACCTCCTTGACCTCAGCCACAGCAATTTCTTACTTGACACATCTCCAAAGGCAAGGGAATCAAGAGCAAAAATGAACTATTGGGACCTCATCAAGATCAAAAGCTTCTGCACGGCAAAGGAAACAATCCATAAAACTAATAGGCAACTGACAGAATGGGAAAAGATAGTTGCAAATGACATATCAGATAAAGGGTTAATATCCAGAATCTATAAGGAACTCATCAAACTCCACACCTGAAAAACAAATTATCCAGTGAAGAAATGGGCAGAAGACATGAACAGACACTTCTCCAAAGAGGACATCCAGATGGCCAACAGACACATGAAACAATGCTCAGCGTCCCTCCTCATCAGGGAAATACAAATCAAAACCACAGAGATACAACCTCACACTGGTCGGAGTGGCAAAAATGAAGAGATCAGGAGCCTCTAGATGCTGGTGAGGATGTGGAGAAATGGGCACCCTCCTACACTGTTGGTGGGAATGTAAACTGGTGCAGCCTCTCTGGAAAACAGTGTGGAGGTTCCTCAGGAAACTAACACTAGAACTCCCCTATGACCCAGCAGTAGCACTGCTAGGAATTTACTCAAGGGATACAGAAATGCTGATGCACAGGAGCACATGTACCCTGATGTTCATAGCAGCACTCTCAGCAATAGCCAAGTCATGGAAAGAACCTAAGTGTCCATCAACGGACGAATGGATCAAGAAGATGTGGTTTATCTACACAATGGAATACTACATGGCGATGAGAAAGAATAAAATCTGTCCATGTGTAGCAACATGGATGGAACTAGAGGGTGTTATGCTGAGCGAAATAAGTCAGGCAGAGAAGGACAAATACCATATGTTTGCACGTATAGGTGGATTAGGAGGAAGCTAACGGAGGACCATGGGGGAGAAGAAGGGGAAAAATAGTTGGGGAGAGGGAGGGAGGCAAACCATAAGAGACTCTCGAATGCTGAGAACAAACTGAGGACTGATAGGAGCGGGGGAGAGGGGAAGGCGGATGATGGGCATGGGGGAGGGCCCTTGTTGGGATGAGCCATCCTTGTTGGGATGGGTGTTATATGGAAACCAACTTGACAATAAACTAAGAAAAAAAAAGATTGTGTCTATTCTGTTTATCATGGTATCCTAAGTAGTCACTTGGTGAGTGCTCAGTAACTGTATGTTTTTGGAATAAACAAACAGAGCCACTAAGGAAGCTTCCTCAGTGCTATGAACTGAACTGTGTCTCCCAGACCCCACCTTTCATATGATGAGCCCCCAGGCCCCAGTGTGACTGTACTGGGAGATAGAGCTTTCAGGAGTTAATTATGGGTAAGTGAGGTTATAAGGGTGGGTCCTACTCTGATAGGATTGAAGGCTTATAAAAAGAGGAAGAGAAAAAGCACTCTCTCCTCACCACATGGCCAGAAAGTGGCCATAGGCAAGCCAGGAAAGAGAGCTCTCTCCAGAAAATGAATCGGCCAGCACCTTGATCTTGGACACTCTAGCCTCCAGAACTGCGAGAAAATAGATTTCTATTGTTTAAGCCACTCAATCTGTGGTATTTTGTTATGCCACCTGAGTGGACTAATACACTCAGACATCAGCCTTCTTTACAGCCATTTTATGACCTGGATTGTAGCCATTTGCTTTAGAAAACAATATAGAGATCTCATCGACCTATCCAGACTAGATTTTAGAGGCTCTGTATGACCTCTTTAAATTGTACTCAGAGAGAAATTCTCTTCAGGACACAGTACACCTTGGTGCAGACTGTAATCACGAAGGCCTCCCTTCCAAAGAGCTCCATGGATTAACTTGGTTTCATATTCCCAGAATGGCAGCCAAGTGCTGAGGCCCACATTCCCCTTGGTCCAGGTACTTGGGGTCATCACAGCAGGTGCTTGGGGCTTTGATCTCCCTCAGAAAAGAAGAAGAGGCTATGAGGGTGACGGATGAGTGGGGCAGTTGAAGGTGTTCGGTATCCACATTCAAAGGCTGAAAAGTCTCTCATAATCTGTGACGAACACACCGACCCCATTCACAGGTTTGGCACTCACCCACCCTGGAGAAATGTGGACAGAGTAGGGTCTTGCACTTGGCCTTGACCTCTGAAAACCCTCCATTTTGTGAATTCTGATAAGCCCATGCTGCAGGAGACAGAAGGTGGGCACAGCTGGAGCAGCTCTTTGATCAAAAGCCAAC